ACATATTGACTTAGAAAAACGGGACATAAGTTGCAAACAAAATCATAGTTTTCTCGTGAAATGTTTCTATCCGATACAAAACTAATTTTTTATACTATCTAATTCCTAACAGATAGTCAATGTAAATAGAAAAATAAACGAATAATCAGGTTAAAGTCTGACATGATACTTTTATTTAATTTGTACTGTAAAAATTCTAATGTTAGTAATAACTTGTAATTTTAGGATTTACAAAAGACATTTGCATAGAAAAACTCCTTAGTTTTCTTACACATTGTATTGAGTGAAAAATTCATATCTCCTCCTGTTTTGATGACAGGAGGTTTTTGAATAAAACAAAAGAGAAACTAACAACTGTTTCATTTTGACTATATAATATTCAGCCTGATGATTATTTATTCTATCAATTTCTGACACTTTAAAACATCATTGAAATTTTACACGATTATTGTAGTTTTTGATCAAAATAAGACGATCTCGAAAATTTTAATCTCTTGAATACTGCTATCCTCAAGTTGAACATAAGCAGAAAGAAAGAATATCTTTTTGTTCTTCCATATGTATATAGACCGAATAAAAAGAGTCGTTCAACATATGATAGACTATAGAACACATGTATATAGCTGATTGACTATGACTGAATTTGAAATTAAAAATGATTTTATTTTATTTTTAATCAAAACAAATTCATAGTATCGATAAAAAAAATTGAAATTGAAATAATAAAAATTTCTATAGGGTTAATCTTTTGATATACATATTTAGATTTAGATTAATTATATAATTAAAGAGTTTTTCATTTGAAGAATTTTTTTTATAATAAATTTCTTCATTTAAACTGATGAAATAGTTGTATCAAAAATATTAATTATATTCGTATAAATTATGATTATACTAACAGTTCTTTTATATAATTTATAAACTATGACGTAAATATACATTTATTTTTTTTCTAGTATTTATTAGTTTCTCTATTAATAATATAAATGTTTATTTCTAATAAATTATGAGAAATAAAATCTAATTATCAACATATAAATGAAGAATACTATCGCGAAATATTTTTATTAAATAAATTGCTTTTTCTTCTGATATAATTCATTCTATAATTAAAATGAAAATATACATGAAACTGAAATCTGTTATAATTTAGAATATTGTTAAACACAAATATCAAGATATATTCTATTGAATATTAAAAGCATTGAGTTTCTGTTAGGTATGCATCCAGTCCGACTGTACTGGTACATCACGATTAACATTATGATTTGATCAGGAATACATCTTGATATAGAAATCAGAAATGATCAATAAAAATAAAAATCATGGTCCTAATTCTTCTCTCTTTCTCTATAGAAATTGATAATAAGAAAAAGTATGAAACTATTAATTTAGTTCTAATTTCGTTAGTTGTAAAGTAAGTCTTTAATGAATACTTTTATCTTCAATACTTTTCATAAATAACTTTAAATGAATATATATTTCTATGTTTTTATTCAGCTCTTAAAACAAATTAAATTTTTCTTCCAATATTGCTATAAAAATACATTGATAAATAGAGGTACTAGTATGTAATGAATAAGAAAATGTAGTAAGGAGTTAATGAAAAATATTTTTTTAATTAATAATATGAAAATTTTCGATAGTTTTCGACTATAAAACATAAACCATAAACTTTTATACTAGATGCTAGAGATACAGCAATATAGAGAAAGATAAATATGTCGAGGGTGTGTGTGTAATTCTAGCAGAATAGAAAATCTATCAACACCCACACTTACACCTACGTCCCCACTCACCGACACTCACACCTACATCCTCACCTACCGACACTTAGATCCACTTACTCACCCACACTTACCCACACCACACCCACACTCGCACCACACACTACCACACTCACACTCCACACCTTTCTTCAATTTCTCCTATGCAATTGGGTTTTTTTCAGTGTGTTTGTTTCTGCGCGTCCTTGAGACATCATTTTCTTCCATTTCTGCTTTGCAATTGGAGTCTTTCCCAGTGTTTTTGTTTGTGCACACTCTTCAAAGTCGATGCAGTTCTCACACAACCAGTGTGCATTTGCCGCATATGTATAAACAGAAGCTCCAAATTTCATTCGATCTTCATTGCGAGAGAACGGTGAGTAAAATTTAACATGTATTACTCTTTCTATTTATTGAACGCATGTTTTTCTGTGAGTTATTGATGGAGCTAAGCCTATAGTACAGGCTACATTTCACAAACAAATCATATTTACTCTACGTAAATCGAGGATCAGAACTTATCGCGAAAATGAGTTGTAGCTTGTTTTCGAATGGTTTTTGCTGAGTTGCGGGTTCAGGTATGGATATGTGTCATCAAAGAAAATGGGTTCATATAAAACCGTCAAAGTTGAAATGACACCTCAGCGAGTTTATGTTGAACTTTCCATTAGATAAGAGTTGGTTTGCATATTTTTGTAGCCTCTCAGGTACCCACATAGTTTCGACTTTGGTGATGACTGTTCGTGATTTCAAAGATAGGCTTCCATGTCCTTTGAATTATGCTGCTATCATTTTTCGATACTGTTGTTTATATGAAGTGCTTTACATAAAACTGTAAATATCACTTTCTAATATGAGATTTTTTCTTCATATCGGAAAGTAGACCATTGAGGGTGTGGGTGTGGGCGTGTATATGTCGTGCCGAAGTTACACTGTTGCCGAAGTTAAACTTCAACAAGAAAATTTTTGTCGAAGTTCAACTTCGGCACGACATATATAACCTTCTTTCACCCATATCCACACCCAAATTCAGCTCAAAAGAACATACTCTTCATGGGATATTACATTCTCGAAAAGCATAACATTGTACAGTTTTTTCGTAGCATACGACTAATTTTGTGAGTATTATATATTAAGAAGGGTATGTTCGTTTGAGCCAGGGGCGGCGGAGCGTCATTAACCTAAGTGAGGCTCACAATATTTTTTTCTACTTTGAACTTTTATTACAACATGAAGCAAAATATAAGTCTTCTTTTTATTATACCTCAGTAAAAACTACAACGGTCGTCGTGAAAATAAAAATGTATAAAAAATAGGTGAACCGCATTATAAGATAGATATGTCAGAACATATATCTAGTTATGTTAGATGCCGAACATAAGAAATTCTAATAATAAACGATAATATTTAATACGAAAACAACTGAGACTGAGCCTCAAGAGCGGAAAACTAAGTGAGGCTTAAGCTTCTTGAGCCTCCACGCTCCGCCGCCACTGGTTTGAGCTGAATTTTTTAGGACATTCTAGTTATAGCTAGACCTACCTATAGACAAAATTTTCGATCGAAATATCGACATTCAGTTTTTTTCTAGCTACTATATCATAGGCTAAAATTTCACTAAAATGACTATAGAATCTTAAGAAAGAGTTGGTGGCCGATAGTATTTTTAGCTTTTGACTACCTCACTATAGTGTATCAAATGGCATATGAATGATTGGAATCGGAGTGTACCACCTAAATAATGTTCCTCGTGCCTTTGCTATTATAAAATAAACCTGTATTCGTGGAGTATAACGAAAAAGACGGTAGAATTTATGCTTTTGTGATCATTATTTCTCGTATCTCTATATGCTATAAAATGAACTGGTATTATAAGACTATAAAGAAAAAGATGCCTTCTATCTGATGAGAAAACCGTCGTATCTATCTCTATGCAGTCATTATTTTTTGTGTTTTCTCTACTAGAAAATGAACCTGTATACTACTCGATTGTATATTTCAACCAATGTTAAAGTACGGATCAAAATTAATTACCCATAAATGACGATCTCTATCAATATAAGCATAGCAAGTGCCCTGCCTATCAACCAGCGTACATATCAAGCACTATAAATAATTAGTCGATTAATATCTTTATGAAGATTTTCAATAATTGGTTAAACTGAACTATCGATTATTACCAAAAATCCCTCCTATTTACGCCTAAATTTTTTTACAAAAACACAATGTACGACAAAATTCATGCTACCCAGTTTTTTCCAACTTTTTTTTCTGTTAGTCGAGGGAGGCAAGTAACATTACACATAACATTATTCATTTTTTTACAGAAAAAAACAAAATTTAAAAGAATAAAATTATGTTGGAAAAATCCAATAATGAGATTTGATGGAGAGAGAGGAACATTTTGACTGAATCAGAAGTCAACATTACAGCAACGAAAGAAATAGTCATGATGACGTTGCGAAAAAACACATGTTATTGGCATGTTTTTCTTTCTATACATTAAGCAAACATAAAGTCGCGCATAGAAAAAAGATTGTTATGTTGGTAACTAAACAAAGTAAAATATATATAAGAGGAGAGCAATAGAAACAAAATTCTTTCATATCTGTCGACAACTGGAAACAACGGTTTCACATTCCATTACTACGTGAGTAACTATCTGGTCAGGTATTTAAATGAGAAGAACCTTAAATTAGTTTTTGATTGATGAAAGTCAACCGACAAACAATTTGTTCACAAACGTTAGCAAATTTAATAACGGTTGTTATTTGTGTTTTTAAATTAGAGTTTCAGAAGTAAATGTAATTTAGCATCAAATCTTAACGTATATCCAGAAAACACTATTGCCTTATAGCTCGTTTGAAATTTTACTAAAAAAATTTTAATATCAGCAAATCAACTGACTTTACATACCGATCACTCCTGTCTGTTGTCAAGATTTTACTTGATATACAATATACTAGAGCAAAGTTAACGACAGATTAAATAGGTAGAACTAATCTCAACTTGTCTAAGATATTGTGACACGAACTTACTTCCACCTTCTACAATTTTTACCCAAAAAAAACATATTTAGGGCGTGAGGGTGGCTGTGTGTATGTGAATACGGAGAAGGTACACACCCACCGCTCTTAAGATATTGTTACTAAAAATTTAAATTTACTACATCTTATATAAATATTATCTTTCACTTTGAATTTGTTTTTCTTAGACTTGATAAAAAATCTTTCAATGCCTGTATCTCATGAAGTCGAAATTCGCCGATTTCAAGTAAAATTGTTTTTCTTTGTTTTGTTTTGTTTTGATTGACGTTTTTTTTAGTCAGTAACTGGTTGGCAAAATGAAGATTATATTATTAATTATCTGAAAATATTCAATTGGGATCTTGATGTATATTAGAATAGATTTTGAAACAATAAGTCATAAATATTCTTCTCGTTTTGTTTTTCTTTTAGTTTGCAGTTGTTACTTATCTTGATAATTTCGGTAAATCTACATATATATCTATTTTTCTCATGAAATAATTTGATTTATTCAGATGAAATAAATGAGAATCGAGAAATCTTTGAGCAACAAATTTTAGCTGAACAACTAACAAGTCAAGAGGATGAGGAACAAATATCAGTAATAAAAAAAAAGAAAATGAAATTTTTCTTTTGAATTATTTTCTCATTACAGGATAGTTCTTCGGAAGTTTTAGTTAATACATATAATCAACAGCAGAACGTAAGTAAAGTTAGCAGCGGATTCGAGTTTTCTTGCTGATATTCGCTCCTAGACTTGGGCTACTATTCGAAATACTTGGGTCAGATGTGGAATTAAATTCTCTATCGAATGGTAGTATTTTCTTAGAGGCTAGCCCATTGGGCAAAAAGATAGATTTTGACCTCAGATACTGAATGAGACTCTGAGGGTGAAGAGGAGCCTTATATCTCCTTCACCATTACCCTTAAAAATACTACCATTCGATAGAGAATCTAGTTCTACATCTGACCCAAGTATTTAGAAGGAAAGCTTAAGTGTAGGAGCGAATTTTAGCATGAAATACTCGAATTCGCTACTAACTTTACTTACATAACAGCAGACAACAAATAATTCTAATCAAACATTATCTATTGAACAGACCGATCAACAATTAACAACAACAGATAATTCATTAATACCAACAGATACTGGTATTGATCCATTCGATGAAAGTTAGTTGTGAAAATAAATAACAGAAGAAGAGAAAGAATTAAATATTTATTTAGATATACAACGACTGATAGAAAATATTGATTCAAATGTTATTGGTCGAGATCTTTTTATTATCACACCATGGGGACAACGGAAAGGTATATTTATTTGAATTATTTCTAAAAACAAAAACTAAATCATTATTTTTAGTTATTTATGCTGATTATACTGCATCAGGTCGAGCTTTGAAATTTATTGAAAAATATATGACCGAAACTATCAGACCATTGTATGGAAAAAATATATGCTTTCGAATGTATAGTGTTCCTTTTAGTTATGCAAATACACATAGTGAGCATAGTGCATGTGCATTACAAACAACAAGGTTTCGTGAAGCATCACGAGCACTTATAAAAGAATATGTTCATGCAACTGATGATGATGTTGTTATATTTACAGGATCAGGTGAATTGAACAAATTTAATTTCTTTTCTTATTAAATAAAACAATTCTTCATATTTTAGGTTCAACAGCTGCTATTAATAAACTTGTTGGCGTTTTAGGTTTAAAAAATGAAGAAATTCGAAGTCGAACAGTTGTTTTCATTAGTACACTTGAACATCATTCAAATATTTTACCATGGAAAGAAACGGGAGTTCATGTAAATTATTTTCTAATATTAGTCAGTGATTATTCTTTTGTGAAACACGATCTCAAGGGAGTGTTGAAGTACAGGAGTAGAAAACTGGACGCATTCCACCCCCTCCCCCTTCCACAGACCGAAACTGACAGACTCTTTGACCTCTTCCACCTTAGAGAATTAATTAGCTACAATTAATTAATAATCGTGAATTAACCATCATTAATTAATAGAGGTTAATTAACAAATATTAATTAATCAATTAGTGCATGGTCTTCTAATAGGATCGATGAACTTTTACTCAGATATGCTCTTATATTAAGCGTGGTTTCCTATCCTGGAAAGAGGAAGGGGAGGAGGGTGGATACCTGTTGATTTGTAGTGAAGTTTTATCTTCCGACAACGAACAGTAGCAGCTATATCGTGTTTCATATTTTAGTCTCGCAGGGATTACGCTAACAGTTTTTTTTCTAGGTTGTACGTATTCCTAATGATGCAAAAGGTCTACTTGATTATAATACTTTAAAAGAAGAATTAGAATATTATCGTGGCAGTGATAAGAACAATATAATTTGCACATTTAATGCTGCAAGTAATGTAACTGGTATTCTTACAGATGTTGATCGTATATCAACATTAGTTCATGAATATGATGGTTTGATTTTTTGGGATTATGCAGCAGGTGCACCTTATTTAAAAATTGATATGAATCCATCAGAAACAGCTTATAAAGATGCAGTTTTTATTTCCACACATAAATTTGTTGGTGGACCATCAACACCAGGTAAACATGAAAACTTTGTTTTTTCGAAAAATGAAGTTTTTGATTAGGAATATTAGTTGCAAAGAAAAAATTATTTATGAATGTTATACCAAGTGGTGTCGGTGGTGGTACAGTTAATTTTGTAACACGAGAACAAACTGAATATTTAAATGATATTGAATCACGTGAAGAAGGTGGAACATCGGATATACTTGGTTCAATTCAAGCTGGTTTAGTTTTCCGTTTAAAAGATTCAGTCGGAGAAGAATTTATAGAAAAACGTGAAAATAGATTAGTTAAAAAATTTTTTCGACGTTTTCGTAGTCATCCAACATTAAAATCTCTTGGTTCACCAGATCTTCCTCGTCTTGCAATTTTTTCATTTCTTATTTATGTACCAATATTTGAGAAATACTTACACCATAATTTTATTTGTGTTTTATTAAATGATTTGTTTGGTATTCAAGTTCGATCAGGTTGTTCATGTGCTGGTCCTTATGTTTTAGTAAGTGACAATTATTCAATCACTTTTCAAAAATGAGCATTTTATCTTTCAGGAATTACTTGGTATCAATGATGAAACAGCGGCCGTTTTTACAAAATTTATTACTGAAAATGAAAAGTAAATTTACCAAAATGTTTTTTATTTGTGATAATTTTATAAAAAAAAACTATTGTAGTAATACAGAGGATTCGATTCCAAGAAATGCATTAATGAAACCAGGTTTTAGTCGATTTAATTTATCATATTTTGCGAGTGATGAAGAAGTTGATTATATTCTTGATGCAATTGAATTTGTTGCCAATGACGGATGGCGATTTTTATCATTAGTAAAAAAACTTTTAATTAAAAGAAAATAATAATAATTTCATTTCTTTTTAGTATACATATAATCCAATAAAAGCTATTTGGCATCCTCGTAATCAACCAATTCCAAATAGTTCTATACATTTTCATAGTCTTCATAGAATAATATTTGAAGATGGAATCATACGAGAAGATCAATCTACTGAATTAAACACAGTTCTAGAAAATAATATTCAATTAGATACTTCATCTTCAAATGATCCATTAGAACAAGCTAAATCAATGAAGGATAATTTATCAAGATATATTTATGATAGTGTTCATTTTCCAGTTGATCCACCATTAAATATTCCAGTGGAATATCAAGATTATATCTGGTTTATTACACCAATACAAGTTATACGAAGACTTACACGTGATTATGAAGATACAATCCCACAACGTCCTCCGCCATTTTGTCCGAATTGAAAACTTTGGTTATCTCCTCAACTTAACTTGTTTTATTTTTTTTCTTATCACTGAAATTAATTAGTAGTTAGAAAAAGCTTCAAACTTTTAATAAAATCTTGAGGGTGTGGGTGTGGGTGGTACTCTTTTCTTTATCCAAACCGACACACACACACCCTTTTTGAAAAAATTAGAACAAATAGAAATGTTATAGAATATCTACAATGTCATGTTGAGAGCCAATATGGTCACGAAATTCATGTAGTGTATACATTGTCTCGCAACTACAGCATTGAATTCGAATATCAATTTCACGAGCGTGTACGCTTTGAAGATGCTGTAGCAGGCCGTCAGGTTTAAACCAGCGATGAAGACAACTAAAAATACATGCATTCATTTTACCAGTTAAGAAAATTAACGGAGCCGAGTCTGGAGTAATGTAAATATTAGCAGGTTCTTCCGTGTTCAAGCAATAAACCATACCCTGATCACCAATAATTTGTCGGTTTTGTCGTTGATGTCGATTATAGTCATGGGTCGTATGACACCTGAATGAACAAGCGCAAATGTATGTAGCATTCGGATTATGCCTGTCTCTAACATGATCAAACAATAATGAAATATCAGCAAATGTCGTTGAACATTCCAAACAACGCTTGTCTGGTACATTTACAAGCCCAGAAGTGGATTGATTGCGTGATAACATTACGCGACTTGAAGCCAACATTGTGTTTAGATATAATTTAGTTCTATCTTTGTTCCCAATTTAATTTTTCAACCAACTTACTGGTTTTTATTAGAAGAAACAATGAACGACAGACAACAAGAGAGAACAATTTATTGGGTTTTTTTAGAAGATACGATGTACGACAGACGACAAGAGAAAAAAAATTACTGGGTATTTTTTATATGATACAAGGAATGACAGACGACAAGAGAATAAATAAAATGCTGCATACAGAATTTTCTTTGTTGCTTTACAACATTTTTACTATTTTTTTGTTTCTCACTAACTACACTTTCTGGGAAAAACAAGAAAGAAAATTTCCGCGACAATCTACCGACGATACAATCTTTTAGTTTTATTTTTATTAGCAAAAAAACTGGCGACCTGTCTAGTTTTTACAGACTATAAATTTAAATGATTCTCTTTACACATTGCTCACATATTCTTTGAAATCCTCGCAAGATCCTTTAATTTTTTCGTAGCAATTGTAATTTGTTCGTTTGATCGATAAGAATTTGTATATTCCCAGAATTGTATAGACAGTTTAAAATTGTCGCGTGCAAAATCATATTCACATAATTGAACATAAATATTAGCTAATTCTTCATACATTTTACCTATTTTTTGATTGTCGAGATCGATAGCAGCTTCAGTACGATCTGGTTTCATTGTCATATATTTCAATTCAAATTCAAATTCTTTTTGTTTATAATAAAGACCCAAAGTATAATCTTTTTGTTTTTCTATATTTATCTCCGATAATGTATTATAGATTGCTGCAATTTCACTAAAACTTTGTTCAGGATTTTGTAAATAAATATCGAGTAGCTTTTCATAATTGATTTGTGCTTCATTTATGAGATCAACAGAAGTTTGTAGTCTCGCTAGACTAGAAATACAATTCATAAAACTTGGATTGTCACATGGAAGACAGGGTAACATTTCTTCAAGTTGTAATTTTTGATATTTAATCGCATCCAGAATGAGTCCTTTTCGTTGACTTTCATCATTCTCTACTAAGGCCTTGTATTCATACATTAATACAATCGAACGATAAAGTTCTATTCGTGTATCAATATTTGTTATTGTTTGCAAGGATGAATCACAGAAACAAATTCCAAGTGTGTGGGTGTGGGTGATAAAACGAGTATCACATATACACCCACACCCACACCCTCAAGATTTTCCTTGTCTATATCCCCTAACACTCTGTCGATTATATATTACATATGCTATTCTCGATTTACTTCGATATTATGCTCCTCATCTTCAATTTTTAAATATAAGTTTATTTGTATCAAATAAATGGAATATACTTCTTGAAACAATTTTATCATTACCAGTACTACAGATATGTTATTTAAATCTTGGTATTGCTCAATGTCCTATTAAATCATCAAATATATTAAAAAGTCCTATAAAACATTTGACTTTACTTGGTTCACATCAATCTTGTTCTATGAAGAAATTGAGTTCTCTACTAAATCATCTGCCTTTTTTAAATTCATTATGTATCAAATGTAATAAATTAGAATGCAGTCAAACTATATCGAATCAAATTTACAACAAATCATTATCTTGTTCTAGTTTTTCTCTCACAATTAATAATTTACCCGAATTATTTATCAATTTTACCTTGTTTTTATTTACAACAATGCCTCATCTAGAAAAATTAAAGATCAAATGTTGTAATCCATTATCAAATTTAGTCTATATCAATGTTTATCTATGGATAAAACTACTTGATTTATTGATTAACCCTTTACCCCCTGAAACGGTTCTAGAAGAGCTACTGATGAAACAACGATTGGACTAGAGTATTGGTGCCTCCAATATGCTAAAAGTATGGACAGATCGATCAAACACAGACTTGAGTTTTACGGTAGTTTGCTGAGGGGGGGTAGGGGGGTCGACTTGAAAAAAATCTCAGGAACTTTCCGTAATCCTCATGTAGTTCAGCAAAAAAACATCTTAGAGAGCTCGGAGACGTCTTATTTTGTAGAGAATTGTCCACTCTATAATATTACATGGTTCAAACAAAACGTTATTATCGAGTTGTGGACGTCGAGAACCTAAGGTGTTGATTTTCTGAAATCCTCGAGTGACCATTGTCTGCTTTAACATATCTTACCTACCTAATTCTTTTCAAATTTTTGAAACTTATATAATCTACTAGTAGACCCTTTCATCGATGTAAATCACACAGCATGCCGCCGAGATATATATTCCTTGGAGGTAGACAAATGATTTAAAAACAAAATTCATTTTTTTCACATTTTTTCGAAATTATCGATTTTAAAAGTCATATATCTCGGAGACAGAGCAACAAAACAAAATATTCTTTTCGCCAATCGATAGCTTATGGAGTTCCCTACAAATATTGTTTTGGGAGTTTTCGAGTATCATGCTTTCTTTATTTTCTAAAAATTTTTTTACGAATGGGTCAAAAATGACCCGCCAGGGGGTAAAGGGTTAATCTAAAAGAAATTATATTAATTTTTACACTGGACAAAACGATCAACGAGAAAAGTTGGAATAAACGATATGAAGATTTACTAAAATTTACTAAATTACGACATATTAATTTACGTATTATTTCTTCGAAAAAATAAAAAGCGCATCTATTTTAACGGATGAATGCACGGTTGTTTTATCGATTTTAATTTTCTGAGCTTTAATGCAACAACAGTAGAGGAAGAGAATAAAAAAAACGTATATTATATACGTTGGTAAAAAGAAGAAAAAGGAAAGAAAGGTCTAGTCGAACGTTAAGAAAAAAAATGAGTACACGCATGTATATACACCATATATGATGACTCACTAGTTTCAATGTGCGCAAAGTGAGATCATGCGTAGGATATTTTTTGTATAATTGTCATTAAGCAGGAGTGATGTACGTAAAAATTATACACGTTTTGAATACTTCACAGCTGTAAGTATCAAAAAACAATATTTGCTCTGCTTCGTCTTGGTTTCTTTGTCAGTCTTTTGTGTCGCCTGTGAATGAAAAATTTATACGATTGTGTTCAATTATATTTTTAAGTGTCAAAAATCTCATAAATCCAAGATATGAAACTTCTAGATTGCAATTGAATGAACAATGAGACGATACACTTGCTCGTAACACCTGATTGCGAGTGTTGTCATGTAGCTTCTTTTTCTCTTCTTCTTTTGTACTCACAAATTTGATCATTCATTTTCATATTTCATCGATTACTCTATTAGGTTACACTAATAATATACAATCAATTTAATTTCAATCCATGACATCGAGTCTTAATATTTATGCTATTGCTGCGATTACATTTTTACAATCGTTGTGTGGTTCCATTCTTTCTGTTGTTGGACAATATATTTATGCATTCTATCTAAAAAATGATCCATTTATATCCAATATGACATTAACAATGCCGAATAATACTTCGCAATCATCTATTTTACATACAATGAACAATAATATGACATGTGGAAACGATTCAAATACAACGACAAGTCAAGCGCAAATGTGGGCACAACAACGTTCGGCCGATCTATTCTTTTGGATTGATCTATCGAATGGTATTCCGGTGATTATCATGACATATATACTTGGTTTGTATACACCAAAATCAGGCGTACGTGTTGTAGCTCTACTTCCGATGTTGAGTACTGTTATTCAATTGGCCATTTGGCTAGCACTTATCTATTTTCATCTTCTTGAATATTGGTGGATTATTTCTTCTATTATCCTTGGTCTAACGGGTTCAATTGGACTTCTTAGTAATTAATGGTTGACTACATTTTTTGACTTTTAACCAATTTATTTGTTTTTTTTCTCATCTTGTTAAGATCTTGTACTGATGTTGATTATTATTGAAGGTACAATCGAAAGTAAACGTTCATCTCGTATTGTTCTTATCGTCAGCATAACAACAAGTGTGGAAGCTGGTGCATCCTTCGTAATTGGTTATTACATTGCATGGCGTGGTTTTATTGATCTGTTTTGGGCAGCTTTGATATTACAATTACTATCAATTATCATTACTATTATCTACATTAAACCATCTCATGTTAAACTTCAGACTAGAGAAATATCCGAAAGTACAACATCTCTTTTAACTGAATCACAAGATGATATAGAGACATCGCCGTCAGGATGGGCTCATCTTTTCGAAGTATTTACTGTATTTTCATTTAAACATCGATCGAAAAAGAAATCTATCAGTATCTATCTGACAATGGTCTCGTATGCGTTCTATTTATTCATAGATTCATCATCAGCAGCATTTCTTTGGTATCTTTTAAATGTTCCATTTTATTGGTCATCTTCTGAGATTGGAAATTATACAGCTGTTTCTGCTATCACTTCTGCTATCACTTCTGCTATCACTTCTGCTGTTTTCACTCTACTCGGTATGCGAATATTAACATGTATTGGTGTTAGTGATCCATTTATTTGTGCCATTAGTTATATCTGTTTATCTGCATCGACTGTTTGGATAGCATTTGCTCAACACAATTGGCAAATGTATGCCGCATTGGCTATTAGTTCATTTTCTACCTATCAAGAATCTTTAACATGGTCAATGTTATCAAAATGGTTAGAACCACATGAACGAAGTAGTGCATTTACATTTTTTACCGAACTTAATGTAGTCATGTATGCTTTGGGTAGTTCATTCTTCAATTGGTTCTATGCTCGTATAGTAGTCTATTATAGGGGAACTACCTTATTATTTGCTGCTAGTCTAGCTATTATACCATTTATTCTTAATATGTGAGTCATGTTCATTTGAAAAACAAAAAAATAAAATCTTATATTTTCTCTTTTAGATGTCTCTTATTAGTTACTCGCTATATGACCGACGATGGTTACGTTCAAGTATCAATATTGGAAGTTGATATTGAAACAACATCATCTAATTTGCCAACTCTTGTTCTACCAGAAACCGATAGTGATATTATTGATCTTTCCAATCCATCATCGCCTCTGCTAATATAGTTCATTGTTCAATCATGTACTAATTCACAGGCAACAATTATGAAATGAAACATTTGTATTTTTTCTTGAATTTCTTTTATTACTAATAATACATGTATGTGATAATGTTATTTTCAGTATGAATCAAAAGATAATTTAGAAATGAGAGAACGCATTTTACAAAACAGAAAAAAAATCAAGTCACTTTTTCCAAGTTAATTCTCTCAATGATAAAAAATGCAGGAAGCTCATCTATTAGTAATTATAAACGTTTTGATTTTAATAATATCAATTTGAAACAAATCTGTGTCTGTAGAAGAGAGGTCATTTTCGATATACAAATGAGCACTTTCATTGATACAATATGAAATTTTATATGTGTGTCAAAGTTACAATCGGGTGTGGGTGAGTGTAATAGAAGAAGAAACATCTACACTCACACCCTCAAGGTGATAGACACTCCTTATGTATCTATGTATGTATCGACCAGACTTGGAACCGGTCAAGTTTTCTCGACCCGGACTGGACCGGTCGGTCTGACATGGTCGCTCGGACCGGACCGGCCGGTCTATATTTGTAACTGGACCGGTAAAAACCGGTAATTTTTACGACATAATCTGATGGATAAAATTTAATATATATATGTATTATTCCAGATTTAACGTATACAAACTCAACTAATACTGTATAAGTTCAATATACTTATTAATATGCAAAAAAAGAATTTTCAGTCAGATATAACAGAATAGCATACGTTATATTGTGGAGTTAGATATTATGGTATTAATAAGAATGAGTGCTATCATCTGGCGTAAATCACTGTCGAGTATAAATGATAATAATATATGATTAGTAGAACTCCAAGAAAAAGACATCAGACGTAAAAATTCTCAAACATTTTTAGGCAAAGTATTTCCAAAAACTGAAGTAGTTAAGAAATAATAGTTGCAATTCTCTCATTTATTACAATTTTATTATGATTTCTTCTTAGTTAAGTAATAGTTAAAGAAAAAAATGACAATAAAAGAAAAGTCATTTCGGCACTTAAATTAAGCATCTAAATGTATTACTGATTTGTAAATCAATTTCATAAATATTTTTGTAGTAATCTGATAAGGAAGAAAATATGTGTCAAAATGTCGTTAAATACAACGATCGAATACAAAAGGGAGAGTTAAACAATGCTCAGATCAAATAAATATAATGGTTGTCATAAAAACCACATAATAAGAAACACTACACATAAGTAATAAGAAACTACAGACAGACTAGATATCCCTAACTCAACAAAGATAAACAATATAAGCAATAAGAAAATGTCAATTATTCAATAAATATAAAGATGAGTGTTGAAATACAAAGTCTTTTTGTTCATCAGTTTAATATGAAGCTATAGCATGAAATTCAAATGTACAGACACTTATTGTCTGGAAAATATCGAGCAAAAACTTCGAAATTCAACTTTTAAAATTGTGTTGAGATGTAAAAATTATGTAGAAATAATATCATATACTGTCTTTCCCACCTCTCACACTTAGATTTTTAACTATCAACATGATATTTTTGTCAATTTTAGTGTATATCATGTAAAAAACAATTATGTAGTATCTCCTAAAAATGGAAAAAAAACGGTAAATACCGGTAAAAACCGGCCGGTCTGAAAAGTTGACCCGGGCTGGACCGGCGACCGGCAAACCGGCCGGTCCGGTACCGGTTTGCCGAACCGGTTCCATGTCTGGTATCGACGAAAAAGGTGAGCGATGCTATCAATAAATCAGACATCCATTTAAAAAATGTAATAATCATCATCACCATCTATTTCATTATCCTCGAGCTGAAGTCTGGTGAGCGTCTGTGAAACATAGTGAGTGATTAGTTAAATGGAAAATAGAGTGATCAGAATCTTGTTACTTTGTTTTTCAGCAACGTATTTAAAAGATGCTGCGATCCTTCGGGACCGATTTGATTAGACGAGAGATCAAGTGTGATGAGTGTCTGTGAAAAATAGGGAGTGAATAGCTGAATGAAAAACAAAATGATTAAAATCTTGTTACTTTGTTTTGCTGTAGAGCATCACCAAGATGTTGCGCTCCTT